AGACAGAAGCAAACAACATGGAGGTGCAGCGACTCCTTCTTCAACTCCTTTAACCTGCCATGTTCTCAGGATCACGTCCATAAACCATGGACCCCTACAATCACTGCCGATGGGGTACACTACCCAACCAAGGACGAAGCTGAATACCCAAAACTGCTATGTGCCAGAGTGGCAGCATTATTGGTAGCTGACCTCAAAAGTAAGGGTATTGAACAACCAGATACTTTTCAGCAACAAATTGGAGAGCGAAGAACCACGGCAGTCAATTCAGTTGCCATGGGATTGTTGCCCCGTGGGCAAAAACTTCGTCCTTTGGTGAGCGAGTTTGGTCATTATGTACAATTTGTAATCAAACCTGACATGGATGCAACAATCCTTTTACAGAGCCTAGTCAAAGGCGTCAGAATCACCGACCGCAAACTTCTTACAGGGGGTGACATGCGGGTTTCCGGGCGAGTGGATGCATCTTTACAATATTTGGGACTCCAAGAGGTCCCAGAAAGCATGAAGGTTGAGCTGGTAACCATCGGCATCCCAAGAGAGCCTTGGGATTTTGTGCAACAAGCTGCCTTGGTAGGACACCCACGCTTCCTACCCTATGCAGGAAGCCCACACTTGGACACTCTGTTGGGGGCAAATTTGGGACAGAACTGGCGTGGCTTGGAACAACACAGACTCTCTTTCTTCAAGCGATGGCTGGCTAGAGCAAAGGAACTTGAAGTTGACGAACGGAACCTCAGAGAGCAACTGGATGAACACGTAAGACATGTTTTGCAAGGGAAGCGACTTCTTCTCTTCAAAGAGATCTTGGAGGACTTAGAGTTCCCAGACAAACACTTGTTCGAGGACATAGTGTCGGGGTTCCGACTCTCTGGATGGATGAGAGACTCGCAACTGTTCTTGAGCTTGCCAAGGCCTCCCAAGCTGACCTTTGAGGCTTTGCTGAGGTCATCGGTGGGACTACAGAAGGCGGTTCTTCAAAAAGTTTCAGAGCCGGAGGACGAAGGTCTCCACCGTGCAGCTTGGACCGAAACTTTGGCAGAGCTGGACAAACACTGGAGCGGGAAGACACTACTGGTGACCTGAGCAGCAAGGTCATAGCCCACCGCTTTGGACTCCAGCAAGGAGAGAAGGTGCGAGTCATAGACAACTTCAAACAATGTGGCCTCGATGATGCTTGCGGCTTGCCGGAGAAGTTCACGCTGCATGGAGTGGACTTCATTGCGGCCTCTTTGATACGTGCCCTTGTCTTGCGCGACAAAGGTCTCAAAGTTTGTTTGAAAGGGAAAACCTTCGACCTCAAATCTGCCTATAAGCAGTCTCCGTTGCACTCAACAGACAGAGCTCATCTCAGAATCACCATTCGTGACCCGGACTCGAACGACCCGAAGTTGTTTGGGCTGAACTCGCTGCCATTTGGCGCCACTGGCAGCGTTGCGGGATTCCTCAGGGTGAGTTCTGCAATATTTTTCATCCTCAGTGTGGGCTTACAGGTTTGGTGCAGCTTTGATGATTTCCCCACCATGTCTGTGGACGCACTTTCAAACTCCACAGATCAGTGCGTGGGGCTACTCTTTGACATGCTTGGCATCCAATTTGCGAAAGAAGGCAAGAAAAGCCAAACCTTTGGGACATAGATGAAAGCCTTGGGTTTGATATTTGACTTGTCGCAATTTGACGAAGGGGTGGTATACATCAAGCACACCTCGGAAAGGAGAGAAGAGATTCTTACCAAGATCAACAACATACTGAAGAAGGACTCACTCTCTCCAAAAGAGGCAGAGTCGTTCAAAGGGCGCATTCAGTGGTTTGAGTCTTATTTGTTTGGGCGCATAGCCAACCTTTCAATACACCGGATCGGCAAGAGGGCGCAACAGAAAGGAGTCAAAGTCAGAAACAAACTGGATGAAGAGTTGCGCTCCTCCTTGCTTTTCTTACGTGCCAGAGTCCAGACTGGCTCACCCCTTCTTTTGACAGCTGACACAGAGGACTCTGTTTTGATCTTCACAGATGGAGCTTTTGATGCTGACACTTTGAAAGGTTCGGTTGGTGGTGTGCTTCTCAATCATGACGGCATACCCTTGCGCTTCTTCAGCGAGAACATACCAGCCTTGGTGATGAAGCGGTTCTTGAAGGCTTCAGACAACCCCATTTATTTAATTGAACTTCTGGCCGGCTATGTAGCGGTCTTCCTTTGGGGTGGCTTGATCGGCCGATATGTGGTCATGTACATTGACAATGAAGCATCGCACTTGGCTCTGATTAAAGCCTACTCCTCAACACAGATGGGCAACGTCATTGTCCAGATGTTTGTGGCAAGCGAAGACTCCTCACAATGGAAAGTTTGGTTTGGTCGTGTCTGCAGCTACTCTAACATAGCTGATGCCCCGAGTCGCATGGAAGTTCAAGACTTGGTGACTCGTGGTGCAATGCAAGACAAATTTGCCTGGGATGTGATCCTGCTTAGCCTTGAAGAGACTAAGCACAATTTGGGATTGGGGTGAAGGCGGGTGCTCAGACTCAGCCGAATGAAACCGAGTCTCAATCCATGGATCAACCCTTTGGCTTAAAAAAGAGTGTTTGCATTTGCACGTGATACAGACATGTCATTTCACTTTCCGGACTGCACGTTTTATTTTGTAGATACTTAGTGGCGCGTGACCCGTTGTTTTGCGAACGCCATACAGTATATGAATACTGATATAGTCTGTTCGGTATATAATTTTAACCCGGAGCGAGAATCTATGAGTGATCGTTTATGCCAGCTCGCTGGTTCTGCATTCCTTGGTTTGTGTTGTTGGTGGTTTTGCTAGAGGAATAAGTTAGCGCTCCTGAAAGGATGATAACCTTATTTCTCAAAACAAAATCTTTTGCATACCTGGGGTCCCTGGGGTGATGCAAAAGAAACCAACAATGACAAACGAAATCTCCTTACCTTTTTAAACCTTGAACTGGTTTCCACAACTGCTGTTATTTTCAGAGTTGGTGGTTTGAGGTTTGAGGTTCCGAAGCAAATTCATCTTGAAACTTGTGAAACGTGAAACGATTCCAAGTCAAACTTCAACATGTTACTCTGGAACATGGTAAATCTTTGAAATATGAAGTCCTTCGGTTCAAGGACTAGGGTAGACCCGAGAGGTTTACCCTCCCACCTACACCCTCTCTTGGGTTATCAAATTTCTTTACGTGCAATCACGTTCCGATTTGTCCGACTTTTTCATTCAGCCTAGCCCTCAGCCTTGAAGGCGGGTGCTCAGACTCAGCCGAATGAAACCGAGTCTCAATCCATGGATCAACCCTTTGGCAGAAAAAAGAGTGTTTGCATTTGCACGTGATACAGACATGTCATTTCACTTTCCGGACTGCACGTTTTATTTTGTAGATACTTAGTGGCGCGTGACCCGTCGTTTTGCGAACGCCATACAGTATATGAATACTGATATAGTCTGTTCGGTATAATTTTAACCCGGAGCGAGAATCTATGAGTAATCATTTATGCCAGCTCGCTGGTTCTGCATTCCTTGGTTTGTGTTGTTGGTGGTTTTGCTAGAGGAATAACGTAGTGTAATGTAGTGAAGTGTAGTGAAGTGGAAGGTAGTGTAGTGTAGTGTAATGTAGTGTAGTGTAGTGGAGTGTAGTGTAGTGTAATGTAGTGTAGTGTAATTTAGTGTAGTGGAGTGTAGTTGTGTAGTTGTAGTTGTAGTTGTAGTGTAGTGGAGTGCAGTGTAGTGTAATGTAGTGAAGTGTAGTGGAAGGTAGTGTAGTGTAGTGTAATGTAGTGTAGTGTAGTGGAGTGTAGTGTAGTGTAATGTAGTGTAGTGTAGTGTAGTGGAGTGTATTGTAGTGTAGTGTAATGTAGTGTAGTGAAGCGAAGCGAAGCGACATCTGCGCCTCCAAAAGTGGTCCGAACCCCCTTTTTTTTAAATATTTCGACTTCAAAATGTGCTTCGCGCCACAACGGCGTGCACTTTTTCGACATCTGAACCTCCAAAAATGGTCCGTACATGGTGTGTTTTGTACATTTTGACTTCGAAATGTGCTTCGCGCCACAACGGCGTGCACTTTTTCGACATCGCAACTTCCAAAAGTGGTCCGACGCTGAGGTGTTTTGTACATTTTGACTTGGAAATGTGCTTCGCGCCACAACGGCGTGCACTTTTTCGACATCTCAACTTCCAAAAGTGGTCCGAACGTGGTGTGTTTTGTACATTTTGACTTGGAAATGTGCTTCGCGCCACAACGGCGTGCACTTTTTCGACATCGCAACTTCCAAAAGTGGTCCGAAGCTGGTGTGTTTTGTACATTTTGACTTGGAAATGTGCTTCGCGCCACAACGGCGTGCAATTTTTCATCTCTCATCTGGCCAGCTGGCTCCGCACCCGCCGCTTTAGCGAGCCTACTTTTCGAGCCTCCGGAGACCCAAATCATGGGAAAAACAGAGTGTTTCGCGGATTTCCCACCTTTTCTCGCATCTGCGTCGTCTTTCTTCTTACTCTTTCTCTTCTACTCTTCTTTCTTCTAATCTTTCTCTTCTCTCTGCCTCTTCCCTGCTCTGCTTTTCATCTGTCCATATTGTCGGAAGTTTGACTTCTAAATTTCCTTCGGTAACTTATCAAATCTTACCATGTGATGTGGTCGTGCGTGACGCCAAGCCATGCGCGGCGATAATTTTTGTTCCGCCAAAGACTTCATATCTTGCATTGTTGTTGCCGAATCCTATTGAAACGTCTTTAATTTTTCCTTGATTTTGAGACATGTTTGTAATCCACAAATCAAGTAGTTTTGGATTGTGGGGGTATGTTCAGCCGTGTGGCTCATTGACAGGTCTAGCATCACAATAATTCATTGATAGTCAGTATATAGCATTTGTGTGCGCACTTGGTTGTGCACCATGAAACTTATCAACCACATGAGAAAATAGGCGCAGTATCACAACTTTGAATTTGTTTCAAACATGTTCAGTTCCTTTGTTCGTTTGCACATTTATGGAAAATCGATTGGACAGTGTTTTCTGCCATGTCCTTGGTGCCAGCAGACTCGGCAGAGGCAGCAAAACTTGTAGCCGGTGCGACTGCTTGGCAGGCTTCTGCATCTGCAAACAACACTCTGCTGGACAAATGGCACAACTTGTTTCATGCCTATGACATTCAAGAATCTGGAACTATTTCATGCGGTGACTTTGTGAAACTGGAAATTCGCAATGGCTTTGAACAGGGCGATTTGAAAAGAATACTCCGCGCTTTTCCCACGTTAAAAGCAGACTCAATCTCCAAAGGGCGCTTGGATTTCATGGATTTCTGCAAAGCTCGCCTTGATTCGTTCGAAGGTGTTGCCTGGTTTTGGTTGGTGATGTCGTTTTTTTTTTAAATCTCATGTAACAATGTATCGACTGTCATTGTCGTCAATAAAATCAATGCTGTTGCCGAGGCCACTCGGGTTGTGCCGTGTGTCCAACAGCTGCTACAAGTGGCAGATCGCGACCTGATAACCACGATGGCAGAGCGATTTCGGATGGGACCATTCTACTCTTGGGAGGTCAGGAAAGAACTGAAGGAGGTGCATGTTGCGTATGTGGATGGGAATCAGTCAAAACGGTACCAAACTAAACATGCAGCAATGTCTAGCAACTTCAATCAGTTACCACAAATTATATATTGTTTCTGAATACTTGCCTACTGACTGTAGCCATGCAAACCCCGTGGCCATGTGGTTCACTGCGGGCCTTGCTGGTTCGCATAGAATGAAAGAACAACTTTGTGCAAAGACTGGGTTAAATGCTGGTTTGTTGAAAAACTACATGGTGTTAAAATCTGCAAAAATTGTAGGGTGGACAAAATTCAATGGCACTAGTAACTAACTGGTGATTAAGCAGGTTTGAAAAAACTGGTTAATGCAGAACCTCCTTTGTGTAAAAACAATTTGGTGTGAAACCTATAATACGGTAAAATATAGGTATAAAAACTGGTGTATGTGGAGGACGAAGAGGAGGGGAAGAGGAAGGGAGTGAAACTAAACCATGGAAACCAGTTTACGAAATCACACTGCGATAGGTAGGCAAAACTAAGTCGCCGCCGAAGAAATCTGCAAGGCAAACATTTGTAGCCGAGACTGAACATAGGGCACACTAAACATAGAAACAACATAGAACAACATCCACAAAACACACCGGCAAATCAACGAACTTCTGTAGCGGACGCCTCCTTGATGTACTCTGTTTCTACATTTGCAGATTAGGTTTGTGCGTTTTGTCTGCAGTTGTGCAGAAATTGTGTCTACAGTACGCAATTCGAAAACGCATTCAACAGCCCTGGGGTGGAAACAACAGACAAAAATGTTCACCACCAAAAAATGACAGAAAAATTCACGCCAACTCGAACAGCGTTGTTTTTCTTTATCAATCATATACTCTTCCAGCCTCATGATGTAGTGCTGACGGGAGCCAGAAATGGAAGATGCACATTGTGTCATTGCGGAGTAGGGCACTCATCTATTATTTGTTTGGCGGACATTTCGGACAAAATATCCCAGACAGCATTCATGTCTGCTCGTTTTCTTCGGTTTTTATTATTTTTTGCCCAGCAGAATATTCAGCATGAGGACTTCATTACATAGGCACCTTCAGGTCAGTGCAAGGTCATGTTCATGATCTTGAAAATACTTTGTTATCTGCTGTTTCAAAGTCTCTCCTTGTTGTTTTCGCCTCACAGGTTTTCTCTTGCTGGAAAAGCACTTCTGAAGCGGCATTGTCACCGAGTGACTGGCTCATGGCCAGCAAGGTGGTCGAAACTGAATGTGATGCGTATTTGAGTGAAAAGTGGACAGGTGAACAAGCCTTTCACTCGGCAGACGCTAACAAGGACGGTCTTGTACAATTGGAAGAATTTGTCTCCTTCAGCCTCTCTGTATTCGAGGTCGTCTTTGGACGCAGAACTCAAGATGCCTTGCAGGTCCTAAAGAAAGTTTGTTCACGTGAAAAGCGACCTCTGAGCTTCACTGTGAAGCTTCCAGTCTTTTTGCCACACCCTCCATATACTTTCCAGACACCTAGCTTTGCACGACATGCAGATTGCTCTTTTTGGCATGCAGACGATCTAGAATTACCGAGCTCCATTACACAGCTGCCAGACCTTCTTGCCCTTCTACGATTGAAGCTCAAACTGGTCGGGATGTCCTTTTCTGCCTTTTGGCAAACCTCCGGACCGGAGAAATCGCTTGATCTGCTTTCCTCCGAGAACTGCTCCAAGATTCTTCTCTCTCTATTTGATGCTATGGCCAAAGCAACGGGTCCAGCAACTCTACAATATGCAATATATGTGAAGAACATCCGGCCAAAGCCAGTTCGCCTTCATGAAGTTCATCATCAAGAGCTGCAGGTGAACTGCCTGTGCCCACAGATTTTGCCGATGGCTATGCGCTGGTGTCTCGATTGGGAGTCACATTTGGTGGGCTACGGCAGAGGACCACTGAGACTTCCCTATAACTTTACGATGGGTATAGGCGATGCACTCGTCCTGCAACTGCCCACTGAAGAGTCTGGCATCTCTTGGAAGGTTTTCATGACAGAAGATGGTGTTCTTGGCAAGCCTTGCTTAGAACAAGTACAGGTGGTGAAGGGGAAGAAAAGGAAGCAGGCGCCACTAACTGTGGGCTTGAAATTTTGAAATTCGCCCAAATCGCATAGTTGAAAATCCCATACAGGTGGACCAACCCAAACGGTTGGGGGCCAAAAAACAAATCCCATACATTCATACATGATCATTACATGATCATTTTTCCCACTGAGAAGGTCATTTCTGGCGCTGAGACTTGCCTCACTTCTGTTTGTTCCTATAGCCAGGTAATCCAGAGTATCGCTGCAGAGATGGCTGTGGAAGGCAGTTCCTGGTGATGTGAACATGTTGCGTTCGAAAGACTAATATCCAGCACGAATTTGATAAAATTTAACTGAAGATGCGAATAAAACTGCAAAGAGCAGCTCACAGTTGTAACTTTTTGCCACCCCGAAACGGTGACAAAAATCCACCGTGGAGATCTTGGACCATTGGAGCACTGTGTCAGGAGAAGCAAAACCCAAACCTCCGAAGGCTGCGAAACCTGCCAAGCAGCGCCCGCAAAGTGGCGCAGTTCGAGCAGCTCGCATGGCTTTTGACCGTCGGCTTGTCCCTTGGATTCCCTTGGCAACTTTGGCAATCAGAGTACTTCATTACTTCATTGTACTTCTAAAGCAAACACAATCAGAAAAAGTCCACTTTCGGAAAGCTGAGGTGCAGTTTGTTTGATATAGAAATAGCCAAGATCTTGATGCTGTAACAATGGTTTACAGCACGATCACCAAGCCTACTTAATTATATGACTAGTAACTTAGTAAGCAGTATTCTGATTGTTCCAACATTTCCAAATTGATCATGTGATGCCAAGTGCGTTCTTGGAGAGACTGGCAGCGGCATGTTTCACGCCATCATTTGAGGTGCTCGTTGCACAAAAAGAGGGTCTTTGCAAGTTCTTCATTGAGATGAGTTGGGAACATCAGGAGGATGTGCTATGCCAGGGCACCTTGAACCTGCCAGCTTCAGAGGCTCCCCTGAAGTGCTTGGCATTTAGACCCTTTAGGCCCATATTGGCATTGTCGATGGCATTTTGTGTCTCTATATTTCATCTAGGTTTGAAATGGACCGAAACGGATGGCTGGACCGTGATTCACAGATTGGTGTCAGGAAGCAGCGTTTTTTTTTCCCGTCGTGCCAGGCATCTGTGGGCAGATTGGGACCCCTTCAAGTCTCTGTGGAAAGAAATTCACCAAAGTTGCCAGAGTTGCAGAAAGCCAAAGGCATGGCTTGGTGGATTGGCACAAGGTGGGCTGTCGCCAAGCTCACAGAATCTCACAGATAGGTTGTTAAAAAGGCAGTCTCCTCTACCAAGAAATGCATGCATCACATGCTTTTTCGCGGAGAAATGTCTAAATTGGTTACTTCTTACTCCTCTAGCTGATAGCTATGAGATCGTATCTTCTCCTGATCCACTAAAACATTATTTTCCCATGTGAAAGATTTGAAAGTGTGAGGTTTCATGGTCCAAGCACCTCGCAGGTGGTCGCCCAAGCCAGTGAAAGCCAAGGGTCGACCTCGGAGCGCCAGATGAGACCCAAGAAACCCCCAAACCGTTTCCAGTGAAAAGAGACTCAAATCTAGACTGCTTTTAATAGACTAATGACTACAATGAGAAATCATTGTGCCATCAAAAACCTAACAGAGCTGTCTAAAGTTCATCCATCATATCATTACAGAGCTGTCTAAAGTTTGATGACCCAATTTTTGGTCTGTCCATATATGGTTCACTGCGCTGCAATAGAGAGAACATGTCTTGTGAGTTTTCGCAGCCAAGACGACTGCGGATCTGTAGATATCTGGGCCCCAGCATCTGGTTGCTGATGGGTCCTGAAAGTATACCATGTTGCATCAGTTTGCCCAGTTTGCCAGCCTGAAACTTCTAGCGTTGCTTCACTTTTTTGTTGCTGCAAGGTCCAAGACGGACTTTCTTGTTAGCAAGACTCTGAATCTTTGGATTTCATCAAAAGTGGCGTGCCTTCTTTCCAGATCAATGAAACAGACCATGAAATCGGCCTTGCAAGCACTATCTGCTTGGATGATTGCGCATACGAGCTTTAATGTCGGTTCCTGGCTGGTAGTGCAGCAACCTTTCGATTTCGGAGCTGAATGTGTAGGTCAAAGCTGTTATATGTTCTCAGGTCAAGTTCGCTTGAGTGGATTCCAGCACGCGCAAGTATACCACCTGCAAGGCTTTTTTGTTAAGAATTCTTTTACAATTTCTCTTCGCAGATTATCATTTTGGCCACTATCTATGCCAGTTTTTCTAATATGAAACATGTAAAGCTCTCCATGGAAGTTCCAGCCATGCTTCGATATGCGCTGGATTCTCTCCTTGGCAAGTCTCCCTGTCTACCAACCACTCTGGGCGGAAGTCGCGGAAGCTGATCGTAACGAACTTGAAGTTGAGGAAGGCGACCAGCTTGGCAATGGCTTATGTTGGTACAACAGTGCCTTGGCACCCTGATCCCAATATGGGCACCCTCAATTTATGATTATTTTATATAATCTATTTTCATGGTGAGAGTCCTGGCGAGGGCGAGAACGATGATTCAAATTAAAGCTATCAACCATCGAATTTGGAGGTACCAACTTTTCAGACAAAACCGTTGGGATCAAGTTGCGTTTGGGCGACGACTTTTTCGTTTTTTCTGTTGTGATGAAACAGCAAGGCAACCGGAATTACACTCGATGTTGTGTAGATGCTGATCCGGAATGTTGGATAGGGATTTGGGTCACTGCAGATCTATGTTGCCATGCTATGAGCCAGCAGCAGCAACAATGCTTTGATTCCATGGAGTCACGGGTGGAAGCAAAGCTACAAAAGCTTCACCAAATTATTCAGATGGCTGAAGATGCTGGATTGGAAAAAGAGGTGTATATTACTGGAGTTCAAGCTTCCAGCTATGAAGTTTTGCTGGCCCAGCCACTTTCAATGTGGTCATGGGCCTGCAGTGCACCAGATTCTCCTTTGCTTTGGAGCATTGATTGCGCCTGTTGCGAGCCGGTGGAGACGACCTGTGAGGTTGAGGCTGTTGAAGAGGCCACGACTTGGCTGAGTTTCTTAAAGTGTTGCTATGGGATCTACCGACGGAAAATTCTGGAGCCGCCAGATGAAGCTCTTGAGCATTCGATTCGAATGCAACTGGAAAGTCTGAGACCCAGCCGTCAGAGAATCCTGCAGGATGGGCCGAAGCTTTCTTGGAATCTTGGAGGTGAATCTGTTGCTCGTGGCTGTGTTGTTTCTGTTCATGAGAACGGAACTGTTTCATCTTGCTCAGAAGAGTACGCTTGCCAGGGATTTGACTGCTCATTCTTGAGAGCTGTGCGTTTAGCTCTCCAAGTCATACAAGCAATAAATCCACTTCCAGCGTTCGACTTCGTTCTCAATGCAGGAGATGAGACTTTGGGAAACACCTTTGCTGAGGCTCCCACTTTTACACGTGGAGGTTCTTGGTGGACAGACACAGTCATCCTACCTCATGAGTGGCAAATGCATCCTACCCAGTGTGGACGAAGCATCAAGGTAGGCATGAATGCAATGGGAATGATCAGATGGGAAGATCGTAAGACTCTGTTGATTTGGCGTGGGTCGCATTCAAACCTTTGGACCCCACATTGCAAAATGTATCAGGCAGCAAGGAATCACAACATGCTGGGAAGATGTGTCACACCAGATACACGTGAGCCTGTTTGGAATTTCAGCACTTGGCTTCAGATGCCAAGGGGAAGGTTGGTCATGTCAACCCGCTTCTTCCCAAGCTTGATCGATGCAAAATTCGTGGACTCCAAAGTGAAGCCCATGAGTCAAGATCTGGAGGAGTTTCTGCGTGAGGAGGGACTCTTTGGAGAACGTATTGAGGGAGAAGATCTTGCTCGTTACAAGTACCACATTGCAATTGAAGGGAATTGTGCAGCTGACCGGGTGGTTTGGCAGCCTTTTCTGGGGTCAGTCTTGCTGATCCCAGATGGCCCCTGGGTTCATGTGTCTCCGGTGAAGATCATGCAACCTTGGGTTCATTATGTTCCAGTGATGCTTTTCGGCTGCAAAAGATGACATACAATATTGTCCTTTTGACTGCAAAAAGCTTTCCTCTGCTATTGATCGTGCATTCTTTAGATAGGAATTATGAATAATATATATATGTATGTATATGTACTGGTAGATAGATGGATGAATAGGATAGGATAGACTAGGTTTGGATAGGATGGGATAGGATAGAATATACAAGATGCGATAAGATAAGATAAGACCGAACAAGATCAGATCAGATGGGATCAGATCAGATCAGATCCGATAGATAGATAGATAGATAGAGATAGATAGATAGAGATAGATAGATAGAGATAGATAGATAGAGATAGATAGAGATAGATAGAGATAGATAGAGATAGATAGAGATAGATAGAGATAGATAGAGATAGATAGAGATAGATAGGGATAGATAGAGATAGATAGGGATAGATAGAGATAGATAGGGATAGATAGAGATAGATAGAGATAGATAGAGATAGATAGGGATAGATAGAGATAGATAGGGATAGATAGAGATAGATAGGGATAGATAGGGATAGATAGGGATAGATAGAGATAGATAGAGATAGATCGGGATAGATAGGGATAGATAGAGATAGATAGAGATAGATAGAGATAGATAGAGATAGATAGAGATAGATAGAGATAGATAGAGATAGATAGAGATAGATAGAGATAGATAGAGATAGATAGAGATAGATAGAGATAGACAGAGATAGATAGAGATCGATAGAGATAGATAGAGATAGATAGAGATAGATAGAGATAGATAGAGATAGATAGAGATAGATAGAGATAGACAGAGATAGATAGAGATCGATAGAGATCGATCGAGATAGATAGAGATAGATAGATAGATAGAATTAGATAAAGATAAATAGAGATAGATAGAGAGAGATAGAGATAGAAAGAGATAGATAGAGATAGATAGAGATAGATAGAGATAGATAGAGATAGATAGAGATAGATAGAGATAGATAGAGATAGATAGAGATAGATAGAGATAGATAGAGATAGATAGAGATAGATAGAGATAGATAGAGATAGATAGAGATAGATAGAGATAGATAGAGATAGATAGAGATAGATAGAGATAGATAGAGATAGATAGAGATAGATAGAGATAGATAGCGATAGATAGCGATAGATAGCGATAGATATAGATAGAGATAGATAGAGATAGAGATAGATAAAGATAGAGATAGATAGAGATAGATAGAGATAGATAGAGATAGATAGAGATAGATAGAGATAAATAGAGATAGATAGAGAGATAGAGAGATAGAGATAGAGAGAGAGATAGAGATAGAGATAGAGGTAGAGAGATACACAGATAGATACATAGATAGATACATAGATAGATAGATAGATAGAGAGATAGAGAGAGAGAGAGAGATAGATAGAGATAGATAGATAGATAGATATAGATAGATAGATAGATAGATATAGACAGATATAGATAGATATAGATAGATATAGATAGATAGAGATTCATAGAGATTCATAGAGATTCATAGAGATTCATAGAGATTCATAGAGATTCATAGAGATTCATAGAGATTCATAGAGATTCATATAGATAGATAGAGAGAGATAGAGAGAGATAGAGATAGATAGGTGGATGGATGGATGGATAGACAGATAGATATAGACATTTCTCTTGATTCTGCG